ACGCGTATGGCCTGTTTGCCATCCCTCGCATTTCAATCTCATTGCTAGGGCACCGAGACTTGTTTAACTTATCTCCTTTACTCATTGGTGCTTCACCCTTTGAACAATCTTGCATGTTGTACCTTTTTAGCATTTTCTCAATGTAGGTCTTTTGTGAAAGACCCAAAAGGCATCTGCTTCTATCACGAATAATTTCTATGCCCAGAACATAAGAAGCCTCACCCATATCTTTCATTTCAAACGTTTGTGACAACAATTTCTTTGTTTCCAGCAAGAGATTAAGATCATTACTTGCTAATAAAATGTCATCAACATATAGGATTAGAAAGATAAACCTCGAGCCACATACCTTGAGATACAAACAATCGTCAATTTTGTTTTCAACAAATCCAAAACTGGTTACTTTCTCATCAAACTTTAAGAACCACTGCCTGGAAGCTTGTTTCAGCCCATAAATTGACTTTCTCAGTTTGCACACCATTTGTTCCTGCCCCATTTCAACAAATCCAGGTGGCTGAACCATGTAAATCTCCTCATCTAAAACTCCATTAAGAAACGCAGTTTTCACGTCCATTTGGTGGAGTTCTAGATTGTAGTGAGCAACTATAGCAAGGATGATTATGAGAGAATCCTTTGAAGAAACTGGTGAGAATGTATCAGAGTAATCCAATCCTTCCCTTTGAGTATACCCCTTTGCAACGAGTCTTGCCTTATACCTCTCAACCTTTCCTTTTGAATCTTTCTTCGTTTTGTATACCCATTTGCACCCAATGGGTTTTATAGACTCATTTGCTTCTGTCAAGACCCACACTTCATTCGAATGCATGGAGTCTATTTCTTCTTGCATAGCTATTTTCCATTGTTCAGCCTTTTCACTTGCCATTGCTTGCTTGAAGGTGACTGGATCAATCTCTATGCCCTCCTCGTGTTCAGTTTTATCTCCATTTGCTTGCTGAAACTCAAGTGATTCATCAACATCATTGTCTAGTTTCTCAGCTTCTCCCACATAAACTAGAAAATCTCCAGAAATTGGAGACTTTCTTGTACGTTGAGGCTGCCTCCTTATTGCAGGGACCATCACCGATTGCATGGTAGTTATACCATGATTTTCATTTCTATCATGCTGCATGTTGCATGCTTGTGTATTGCTGCTGCTTGATGCATGCTGGAAATCAGTAGCTCCACCAAAATCACTTTGATAAAAAATTTCATGGACTTGGTTTTACGTGTCAAGAGTTGCAAAATCAATTTTGGTTGATAACTTTGGGGAACTTGATGTCACAACCTCTTCTTCATCTTCAAAAACAAAGTCACGAGCCTTATTACCATTTGATTCTTCCACTTCAACAAACCTTGCATTATTTGTCTCAAATATTCTCGTATGTAAGGTTGGAGTATAAAACCTGTACCCTTTTGATCTCTCTGGAAAACCAATAAAGCTGCAGCTTATAGTCTTGGGGTCAAGTTTCTTTGCCTCTGGATTATATATTCTTGCTTCTGCCTTGCAGCCCCACACGTGAAGGTGATTCAAACTAGGCTTTCTTGAAGTCCACAGTTCAAATGGAGTCTTGTGCACTGATTTGCTTGGGACTCTATTCGATATATAATTTGCCATTTTAAGAGCCTCACCCCACAGAAACATAGGAAGATCAGTCCTACTCATCATGCATCTCACCATTTCAATCAAAGTCTTATTTTTTCTTTCGGCTACACCATTTTGCTGTGGTGTTCCGGGAGTAGTATACTGAGCTTGAATCCCATTTTCTTCCAAGAACATAGCCATTGGACCCTTTTGTTGTCCTTTCTCTGTGTACCTGCCATAATACTCCCCTCCACGGTCCGATCTCAAGATTTTAATTGTCTTTTCAAGTTGTTTTTCCACTTCATTTTTGAAAATTTTAAAGCAATCAAACACCTTATTTTTCTCGGATATAAGATATATATATATATATATATATATATATATATATATATATATGCATATCGAGAAAAATCATCAATGAAGGACACAAAATAGGCATTTTTGCAGATAGTTTGTGTGGGGAAAGGTCCACAAAGATCTGAGTGGACGACTTCTAAGAGGTCAAGACTTCTTGTGGAACCAGTCTTCTTTTTGTTTGTTAATTTCCCTTTCCAACAGTCAATACAATTTTGCATATCATTAAAATCCAATGTTGGGAGCATTTGTTCTTTAACTAGAATTTCTAATCTTTGCTTGTTAATATGTCCAAGCCTTCTATGCCAAAGCATTGAGGACCTTTCATCAATCAGAGACCTTTTCAAGGACAAATTAGATTCCACAGCCAAACATTTTGTATTTAATATCACTTGACAACTCAACTTCCAAAGATCATTGTTTAAAAAACAAATACCAAGCAAAATATTCATATTATTTTTCTTGTAAATTCGTACACTTTCATCATCTCCCACAAAAGCATAACCATCTTTTACAAGTTTTGATGCAGAAATTAAACTTCTAGTTAACCTAGGGACATAAAGAACATCTAGCAAATTTAAAATGAAACCACTTGACAACTTGAGCTTTAGGGTGCCTATTGCCTCCACAGCTACTTTATTCCCATCCCCAACGTAGACATCATAGACCTCATTTCTTGAAATTTCCCTTCTTGTGAACCCTTGCAAGGAATTGGTAATGTGCACCGAACAACCAGTGTCAAACCACCAAGAATCTGGAGGGACTTCAACAAGATTAACATTAACATAGACAAAAACATTTTCAATTTTATTACCTTTCTTAGGTGCCCACTTCTTTCGTTTATCACAATCCCTCTTCAAGTGACCAAATTCTTTGCAAAAGTAGCATTTAATATTTTCAATGTTGCCCTTAAAACCGTGAGATCCCTTGGAGGACGATGGAGTATCATTTCCAGCAGCATGAGAATAGGAGAAGGGTTTATATGGCTTACCAGATGTCGAGACAGTCTTCCTCGTAGTCTCAGCCTTCATGAAATTCAATGCTTCATTTGACACCCTTTTAATCCTGCTCTCCTCTTGGACACATATGGAAATGAGATCATTCAAGCTCCACTTCTCCTTTTGTGTGTTGTATGACGTCTGGGAGGGAATTAAGGACCATATGAACAACAAAAGCATCATCAATGGGGACCTCCAGGTCTGTGAGCTTTGTAGCGGCCTCTACTAGCTTCAGAATGTGCTCTATGACAGTGCCTTTCCCATCATATTTCAAAGTTGTCAAGGTAGTCATGAGGTTTCCCATTTCTCCCTTCTCTGAAACCTTGAATTTGGCCTCAATTGCTTCCAGAAAATCCTTTGCTTTGTCAGTTGTAGGTATGCCTCCTCTAACAGCTTCACTAATGGATCGTTTGATTACTAACAGTGCCATGCGATTTGCTTTCTCCCATTTTTCGAATTTCAGCCTTTGTTCAACGGTGCTATTGTCATCCAGTGCTTGTGGCTCATCTTCCCTCAACGCAAGATCATAGTCCATTAGTCCGAGGATGATCTCTACATCCTGTCTCCATTTTTTGTAATTTCCTCCACTTAAAGGCTCTGATACCATGTGGAAATTTTCAGGTCGACGGGCCGAGGGCCCACTCCAACAACACCGATACTGTCCCCACTTAACCACCTGCACAATCCTCAGGTGTGGGGTTTTATCACAAAAGGCCTCGATGTTAGTTAGAGATGAGTATTTCTATTTAAAGCACTTTCACTTGAGCCCTCTGGCCGATGTGGGACAACACTGGGGTTCCAACACTCCCCCGCACGTGAGACCCCATTTATGGGTCACACGTGAAAATCCACATCGGCAACCACGTGGAGCCATTGGGGACTCACCCATCACGCGGGGCCATTGGGGACCCACCCAAACACGTGGCAGTACGGGCCCGCCTCCTGGCTCTGATACCATGTGTTAGATGAATCATCTAGTCTCAAACTAAGATTACGATATACAATAAATGTTAGTTCAAAGTGATTGAATCAGTATATATATAAACATACCTGAAGAAGTCATGAAGAATACTATGAATGCACTGGAAAGAATACTAACAGAAAGTCTTCTACTCACACAGCCCTTATGTCCAATACTAGTGATAGTCTAGTGATCGAGTGAACGTCATTTTGGTGAGCAGGGACGTTCGTATTTATAGGATATATTCCTAACATGATCCCAGCTATCATGGGATCAGTTAATATCCATTAACTTGCACGTTCAAATCAGATTATGTATAACGTTCACATAATCCCTTAATTCTAGGAGATCAGTTATTGACATGGTCATGACTCCTAATTGGTTTAAACCCACGTTTAGGTATCCTTATCATGATATGTGTAAGTTCAAAACCTAACATAAATACGAAAGCGGCCTTAAAAAAAACTAATAAAAATGGTTTGAAAATTTTAAATTTTAATGATAAGGACAAAATAAATGGTAAAATAAATAGTATCAAGATTGACTTTTTAGTATAAAAATATAATTTTTTGTTAAAATAAACAGTACCAAAAACTTTTTGTAAAAATTTCAAAAATATATTGCCAGGTATTTCAACCCGAATGAAGAAAAAAAAAAACAAGAGATAGCTATCCTCAAGGACAGAAACAAACAACAACCATCAGGTAATAATTCAACGATGCTCCTCCTGGAAAAGGACATCTACTAGAAAATTAGGAGGGTTATCCACCCAAATCACCTTCCCCAGAACCACGCAAGCCTACAGAAAAGGACGAGAAACTGTTTCTTGAGCAAAAGAAAAGTCTTCATTTTTTCATTCAGCCTTTCTGTCACTGTCAGTAAAATTTTCAACCAATGGCTTCGAAGATCATGAATGAATATATGACTGATTGGCATTAAAAAGAATATAATAATTTTCATCATCGTCGATCAGCAGAAACTCCACAAGCGAATGTCACTTTCCTCATATAAGTCATACATCATAGGTGGATGCGGATCCAAGGTCAATCATCTGTTCTACTTTTTCTTCAGTGCCTTTTTCAATTTGGTTTGTTTCTCTCTTTATTTTCGTGCCTTTTTCTGCCTGTTTTGGTCTCTCTCAAACCCCGTGTTCTCTGCATTTCCATCTCCACATCCTTCTCATCTTTTCCATCCAAATTATCTGTGTAAATTTCTTGCGTTTAAAATCGCTGGACAAGTTAATTGTTGCTGTAAAGTATCTGCTTCTACGGCCGTTCTACATCTATTCACACTGTTTGTGCTTTTTTCCGTCTGGGATTTCCCGGTTCTGGCCTGAATTTTGCTGATTTCCACCCCTTTCGTCGCAACCTGTCTTCAGATCACTGCAGAACTGATCTTATTTAATTGAGGTGTGTTTTATAATCGTTAGAGAGAGAAAGATGGCAGCGGCGGGCATTGGTTGGAGTTAGGGGTGTGTTTTATAGGTGAAAAAGGATAACATTTATTTATTTATTTAGAGGGTTTTGTTTCTGTGTTTAGATCCTAGGTATAACTAGATAATTTGGTTGTCTTTTCATTTGGTGGAAGTAGTTATTTTTGAGGGTTTTGTGTGCAGCCTTTAAAGTTTAATGTTGCTTTCAATCTGTTTTGAAAATTTTTATTTTGTCAAGTCACGAGGCATGGCGTCGATGAAATTATTTGGTGTGGTACTGTTTCTTTCTTTGTATTAATTGAGCTTATAATGTATTTTAAGGCTTGTATTATAGATTTGTTTTTCATATCAAATCTTAAATTATCGGTGTTAATAAAATTGATTTGGTTTTGTAGATCAGAATTTTTAAGCGACAAAATCAACTTGCAAATTCAGTTCAGGTATGAATGCTTCCGCTTATTTAGATTGTTGAATTGATCTTTACCTTTACTAGATTTTATTTTTCAATGTTGTTTGCTACATTACTGTGTTACTTTATTATTAATAATACTAATTTGGTTTTGTAGATTAAGATTTTTAAGCGAGAATCAAGTTCTAAATTCAATTGAGGTATGAATCTTTTTGCTTATTTGGGCTGTTGAATTCATCCTTGCCTTTACTGCATTTTTTTTTATTGTTGTTTGGTGCATTCTAGTATTGATTTCATTGTAATTTTATGGATTTTAAATGGTTGTTTGGATTTTGGATTGTGAGAAGGATCTGGTGGGTTTTCAAGATAATCAAATAAGTTTGGGATTTTTACCGCTTCTCTCTGCATGCTTCTAGCTGTTGTGTGTGTATATATATATTATTCAATTGTTTGCATTTATTTTTCCTTTCGTTTTTACTCAATTTTTTTACTTTTTCTCTATGTGTTGCTTCATGTATGTTTCTCAATTGTTTGAATTTACTCCTTGCCTTCAGTTTTTACTGAATTTATTGACTTTTTGTGCATGGGTTAATCTATTTGTTATATGTCATGGTTAAAGGTTTGGTTTCTTTCTTTTTTTCTTTTTATCAATCCTCTCTCTTTACAATTTAAGTTGAATTACCATGGGATGTACAACAAAGGAGGCTAAAAAGCAGTCTAGCCCGAGGAAAAGGCCATAAACAAAGCAAGGAAAAAGACCAGTGGTTAAAAAGGCTAAGTAGTCCGAAAGATTTTTATAACATGACATGAAGCGCAACTTTTGTCCAAATCTTAGACATCCAACTAACCCAGAAAAATACAAAATGACAGCTAGCTACTCCAACGTGATCAACACCTTTGCTTCATTTTCCTTGGTGGGTTACCCTGTGCCCCTCAAATAATTAACAAATCATCCAAACATGTTTCACGCTGGTGGATTATCCTGAACCTCTCAATAATTAACAAATAAACCAGCATGCTTTAACAGTGCATCTACACTATTTGGTTCCAGGAAGTGATAAAACTAAAAGTTGAACAATGTTTTTACATCGGCTCCCACTATATCGTTAACTTTTAGCCCTCAAGTCTTAATTAAGTTTTTTCTTTGTTAAGTTTTGTCTGCATAAAAACAAAGTCACCAGCTCCCACTACATCATTAACTTTTGACACCTACAATTATTTTGAATTAATAGCACATAATAAAGCTACTTTAATTTTCTTCTTTGGGATTACTTTTATGATGCAGTCATCCTTGGTATTTTCTTCTCTAGGATTACTTTAATTATGCAGGCATCCTTGGTTGCATTGCCTTAAAAATGCATGCAATCTCGGACACGTAACAAAGTTGCTCACTTTGATGAGCAATTTTCCCTAAAAAAAATTGAGTGCATCACAGTCACAGATCATGGCCCATAAATTATAAAAATAGTTACGAAAAACTACAAAAGCAAGTGCCCCTTAGTTTACGTCTAAAGGTATGTACAAAAGTTTAAAGGTGTGAATAAAAATCTAAAAATACGTGGGAAAGTTTAAAGGTGTGTAAAAAAAAAAGTCCAAAGGTGTATGTAAAAGTCTAAATGTGTGTGAAAGTCTAAAATTGTGTGTGAAAGTAAAGACTTTTGAACACCTATGTTTTATGTTGTCGTGTAAAATCTCTATAAATGAGATATCTATGTACGTTTGTAATCAATCTCATTCCAGCAATAAGGAAAGAAAATATTTTTGTTATCGGAAGAAACTTGCTGCTAATAGTCTGAAAAACATAACTTGTTGCTAATAGTTTGAAAAACATTCAGAGGAAGCAACAAGCTTTTAGAAAATTAGTCTGAAAGTTTTTCTTACTATTAGCAGCAAGTTTCTTCCGATTACAAAAACCATTTCTTTTCTTATTGCTGGAATGGAATTGATTACAAACGTACAAGGACAATGTAATGTTTTCAAATCTTTTATCTGCAACTACTAATGTGAATCAAGAACTAGGATGACTGCCAAGGGGGAATATCATATTAACCATTTGTGTATGTCAATGACAAAGTGTTTGCCAATGTTTTATTTTTTATTTTTTATAAAATGTATAAATCTAGACACTGACCTGTAAAAAATATTCGATACATTATCTATACAGCCTTCATTATCTTTGTGTAAATAGTACTAGCATTTGCCTACACACTTTGTGTGTGTGAACATATTTTTTTTAAAAAATGAGAAGGAAATGAGGGGGGGGGGGAAGAGAGAGAGAACGTGGGGGGAGTGAGAGGTTTTATTTTTTTTAAATATTGAAGGTATTTTAACATCATCTGTAGGTGAGGTTTCAATAAAAAACAGTAAATTTTGAACCTGTGAAATTACATTTTTGCCCATCATTTTTTTTGTGTGATAGAAGACTAATTTGTCTTTTCTCTCTCTTTTGGTTGACAAAGAAGATTTTATTAATTAGTAGAGATTAGTTTGGATTTCTACGTATTTATATTTTGGGAGTTACATATTTTTAGACATGTTCTATAGTAAGATTTTCGCTCCCGCAATAATGAGCGGGCACAGTTTTCTAGTCTGTATCTATATCTTGTCCTTTTTTTATTTGCCTTTCTCTGCTTACTCATTGTGCTTGATTGTTTGGTCCATTTGTATTCATGATGCTAAACCCTATATCCATTGAGAAATTGAGAATTGACACAATCTTATACTTTTTTGAGAGAATTGATACATCTTTCATAAAAAGAGAAAAAATAAATAAAATTACAGCTTAGCCCGAACCCTTATGGGATTTATTTCTTTGTGCATGTCAGGAAATTTGCATTTCCATCATGTAATTATAATCCCACAAACCATGCTCAAGACATGTCTTTGAGCTTGTCACTAGGAAAGAAACCATGATGTTCTATTCAGTAAATACTAAAAGCTTTGAGAAAATTTAGTGAAATGAGAAAACTAGAATTTCTCTTAACTTTTTTTCTTAACGAGTTTCAGTTTTTTACAGTTTGACTGTTGATATTGGTTGCTTCGCTTCACTCTTTCAATCTTGATACCTTCTTTCTCCTCAAGAAGCTGTTAATATACACTCTCCTGAAGAAGTTGCTTTCATAAGCTATGTCACTGTGAGAGGTCTTTATTTCTGGATTACTTCAAGTGTTGTGGAAAGGGATTATGTAGGCTGCAAATAAAGGAACTAGAAATTGTTATGATATAAAGCAAAAGACGAAAGTGCACGTTATTATTCCTTCAATTTCAGTCTGGATTTGTTAGCGAGCCTTCTCTCATCTCTCTACTTTCATACTTCCATTCCATGTAAGTGCTTTTTTGCCATGGGTAATCTATTTCATTTTATATCATGTACAATTTCAAATAATATGGATGAATTCTTGCTTATTCAAATTTGCATGGAAAATATTTAGGCTATGAGTTGCATTTCTTTTTCTAAAGCTGAAAAATATCCAAAAATCGATTGACCTATATGATAATGAAAGGTCTTGTTTCAATCGCTTTTACGGTCTTATTGGAAGTGCTTTTGGCATGATTAGTGCTTATTAGTTATTATACGAGTAAAAGCATTTTGTTTGACAAAAATTGGAAATACGCTTGAATATAGGAAGCACTTGAATGGGGGTTTCAACAACATAAAGAAGTTGGAATTGGTTGTATAGCAATCACTTATAAACACCTTTTGCTAGAAGTGCGTTTATTAGAGACTTTAACGTTGAATTTATATATATAAAAAATACAAGTGTTTATTGAAAAAGTATTTAGAAATGCTTCTTGAAAAAGCATTTATTATGTGTTTCTCTAAAAAAACACATCTATGACTCAGAAACACGTTTTAACTTTTCTTCCAAAAGTAGCCAAAGGCTTGTCATTGAAGTTTTTTTTTATAGTCCCAAAACGCTTTTAACTCTTTTAGAAGCAGTCACAATCCATAATATGCCCTCCTCCTATATTGAAATAAACAACCCCTATTCTTGTATGCCCAATGTCCAAACTGTCTTTAAACATTCTTTAAGCTCTCTTTAATAAGACATCACTCTACTGCAGCAGAGCATGCGTTTCTCCATCTTCAAGAAGAACAAGTCTCGTGTGAATTTTCCTTTAAAGGTATTGTCCTTTTACTCCTCATCCAAATATACATGTCCTTAATATGAATCTATATCAGTATTTTGTCCTTTTTTTTATTTGCCTTTCTCTGTTTACTCTCTGTGCTGGATTATTTGGTCCTAAATCCATTGGGAATTTGATAGTTGATACGATCTATACGTTTTTGGGGGAATTGATACAACCTTTCATAAAAAGAACAAAAATTAAATAAAATGAAACTTGATCCAAATGCCTATGGGATTTGGTGCTTGTCATGAAATTATTTCCAAACGCCTATGGGATTTGTTTCCTTGTGCTTGTCATGAAATTATATATATATATATATATATATATATATATATATATATATATATATATATATGTGTGTGTGTGTGTGTGTGTGTGTGTGTGTGACTCTATATATATATATAGAATTAGGATCGGGGACATCTGTTTTTTCAAACACATTTGACACTCATTTGTAGAGACATTAAGTAACTTTTTTCATCGATCTAACCATTTATTTTTTTTTAATTTTTATTTTTTTGTCTTCTCTAAAAAATTCTAATACATTCCTAAACAAAATAGGACTCTCATACCAACAAGTAAAATCCTAACAGGCTTTACAAAGTGCGTTTAAAAATATGGGTGTCCCCCAATCCTAACAGGCTTTTCAATGGAAGTTGGTAATTGGTATAGCTCGCTCTTATTTTTGGTAGAAGAAAGTGTTACAAATTTACGTGCAAAAACAAAAGCACATCTGACTCAAACAATCCCGAGGCAATTCATTTACTGTGCTCAGGACATATCTCTAAGCTTATTTTTGTAACTTTTTCTTAACCAGTTTCACTTTTTGCAGTTCGACGGTCGACATTGCACAAGCTTCCTCGTGACATTTGCTTACTTGTTCTTGGATTGGTTGCTTCACTTCACTCTTTCAATCTTGATACCTTGCTTTCTCCTGAAGAAGCTGCTAATATACATTATCTTGAAGAAGTTCTTATAAGCCATGTCACTGGGAGAGGTCTTTATCTCTGGTTTACTTCAAGTGTTACTTGAAAGGTTAGCATCTCGTGAGACACTAAGCTACTTTAGACGCCTACTTGGCGTTGGCAAAGAGCTGGAGAAATGGAATTCAATGTTGTCTACTATTCGAGCGGTGCTGAATGACGCGGAGGAAAAGCAATTGACGAGCCAAGCAGTAAAATTGTGGTTGGATGATCTCAGAAACTTGGCTTATAATGTGGAAGACATATTGGACAGGTTTTCAACCGAGATGTTGCAGCGCCAAATAAAAGAGAAACATGGTGCTACCACAAGCAAGGTATGGGGATTGTTTTCTGATGTTAAATTTAACCGTAACTTGATCTCAGAAATAAAGAAGATTACTGATCGGTTACATGAGATATTGGAACAAAAAAACCAACTTGGTTTACATGAGGGGACACCATCTGTTAAGGCATGGCACATGCCACCAAGTTCCCATTTACCAGAAGGACCTATGATTGGAAGGGATACAGACAAGACGAACATTATTGACTTCTTGTTGAAAGAAGCACTCCGTGCTGTTAACTTTCATGTAGTTGCCATTGTCGGTATGCCTGGAGTGGGAAAGACAACACTTGCAAGACATATTTATGATGATGACGAGGTGAAAGAGTTTAACCAAAAAGTATGGGTATCTGTGTCGGATGACTTCAATCTTGAAAGAGTGACAAAGGCAATTCTTGAGGCTGCCACATCTGGTCTTGCAAAGGATTTCAAGGAATTCAGCCAGGTTCAAGAAAGTTTGAGGAATGAGCTAGCAGGAAAAAAGTTTCTAATTGTTCTAGACGATGTTTGGGACACATGTGTCTATGATTTGTGGATAAAATTGCAGTCTCCTTTTCGTGTTGGAGCACCAGGAAGTAAGATAGTTGTGACAACACGTGATACAAATGTTGCAAACATGATGGGGTCCACTATTTATCGATTGGGTGGCATATCAGATGATCAATGTTGGGAAGTCTTTGAGCAGCATTCCCTCTTGGACATTACCAAAAGGCCGCAAAATTTTAAGTTGATAAAGGAGAAAGTTGTTGCAAAATGTCGCGGATTGCCATTGGTTGCAAGGACTCTTGGAGGTCTTCTACGTTGTAAACAAGTAGAAGAATGGGAGGCAATCTTAAACAACAAGATGTGGAGTCTATCAGACAATAGTGGCATTCTCCCAGTATTAAAATTGAGCTATCACCATCTCCCTTCGAGTTTGAAACGATGCTTTGCCTATTGTTCTCTACTTCCAAATGACTATGAATTTAGGGAGAAGCAGTTGATCCTTCTGTGGATGGCAGAAGGTTTGATTCAACAAAGAGTAGAGGACAAGAAACAGCTGGAAGAAGTAGGCAGTGACTATTTTCAAGAGCTATTGTCCAGGTCATTATTTCAAAAGGCAAGCAAAAGCAATGATAAGTATGTAATGCATGACCTTGTTGGTGAGTTGGCACGGTGGGCTGCAGGTGAAATATGCTTTTCATTGGAGGACAAGGGAAATGTTGACTTGCATCCAATGGCTCGTCATATGTCTTATGTCAGTGGTTACTTGGATGGGGTTAAAAAATTTGAGGCCATATCCAGAGTTAAACGTTTGAGGACATTCCTGTCATTTCGGCCTTCAGAATTTGATAAGAATTATCTAACTCGTTGGGTTACATTTGACCTATTGCCAGAAATGCGAATCTTACGAGTGCTTTCTTTGAATGGTTATGGAATAACTGAGTTGCCCAATTCAATTGGTAAATTGTGGAATCTACGGTATCTGGACCTTTCTTACACAGACATAACGAGTTTGCCTCCATCAACAACCACTCTTTGCAATCTGCAAACATTGTTATTAGAAGGTTGTTTTCAATTGAAGGCTTTGCCCGCAAACATGAGTAATCTAATTAGTTTGCGGCATCTCAACAGTTTTCGTGGATTGGAAGGAATGCCTCCGCATCTAGGTCGATTGACGAATCTGCAATCCTTGTCATATTTTGTGGTAGGCAAAGGTAGTGATCAGTCTGGGATAAGAGAGATAGGGTCCCTATCACATCTTCAAGGGACATTGCACCTCTCAAGATTGGAGAATGCGGTTGATGCTAAGGATGCTAGTGGGGCCAAGTTAATAGACAAGGAGGGGCTTGATTCATTGAAGCTGGAATGGTCTAATTTGAGCAGATCGAGGGAAATGGAGTTGGGTGTGCTTGACATGTTACAACCTCCTAAAAATCTCAAAGAGCTCACTATTATGGGTTATGCTGGATTGAAATTTTCATCGTGGATTGGAGATCCTCTGTTCTCTAAAATGGTGTGTGTAAGCTTATACAATTGTAGAAATTGTCATCTCTTGCCACCAGTTGGACAGTTTCCTTGCCTTAAAGAACTTCATATCACGAGAATGACTTCTGTGGAAATCGTTGGTCCCGAATTCTACGGAGAGGGTAGCTTGCCTTTTCGAGTATTAGAGATTCTTGAGTTTTTGGAGATGGGGCATTGGGAGAAATGGCTGCCTTTCGATCACGATAAGGGAAGTGGTGTTTTCCCTAGCTTAAAAGTGCTTTCAATCAAAGAGTGCCCTAAACTGGAGGGTGAGTTGCCGAAGAAACTTAATTCGTTAGCAAAGCTTGAGATTGCTAGATGCAAGGAATTGGTGGTTGAGATTGACAATTATGAACACACGAGTGAACTAAGCATCGATGGTGGCAAAGCGCTAGTGCATACTACCGCTGAGGTTGACTTTAAGTTTTTAGACACCTTGTGTCTTTCAAACATTTTGGAGCCGCGATTGCAAGCAAGGGGACTTACGAAAGCATTAGGCAAGATTAAGAAGTTGAACATTAGTGGTTGTGAGGAGCTGACGTCTTCATTGAAAAATGAGGACGGATGTTTCCCACAACTGATTTCTCTTGTTCGTTTGGTTATTGAACGCAACTCTGCCCTTGTTGAAGATCTCGGAAAAGAATTGGAGGGGTTGCTGCAGGTTCCAATATTAGCTTGTAAGCTTGAATATCTGGAAATAAACTATTGTGGAAGTCTTTCGAAGCTGCCGAAGGGGTTGCGTCAGTTGTCGTCTCTTCAAGAGCTTCACATACGGCAATGTTCAAGTCTAGTTTCTTTTCCAGATGTTGGCCTGCCACCTTCTCTTAAAGTCTTGGAGATTAGGAATTGTGACTCTCTGATGTATATTGCAAAATATCAGATTCCCCAAAATCTGAAAAGAATAGAGATATGGAGGTGTGGAAGTTTGAAATCATTAGTGGAGGAGGAGAATGAGCTCGTTGTTTCTTGTTCATCTTCCTTTTCTGTTTCTCTTGAGCACTTGCGGATATCTCTTTGTCCATCTCTGACATCGTTATCACCGAGAGGCCAGCTTTACAGGGCGCTTAAACACCTTGAGATAGAGGAATGTGAAGGGCTAGAGTTAATAACATCAGAGCGGTTCTTCCCCGACAATACTAATAATTGTCTTGAATGTATTAACATTGCCAGGTGTCAAAATCTGAAATCCTTACCGGAGGGCCTATGCCACCTCACCAATCTTCAAGCTTTTATTGTTAGGGAATGCAGAAAATTGGAGGTGTCACCGGAAGACATTCGCAATCTCACGTCTCTTAAAGTATTGGAGATTGGCTACATGGAAGGTTTGCCTTCCTTTCCTCCCAACCTCACATCACTTGAAATTTATGGAGCCAAGAGTTGTAAGCAGCTCTGGGAATCGGAGTGGGGGTTGGACAAACTCACGTCTCTCAAATATTTGTCGATCAAAAGTGAAGATCCAGATGTGTTGTCATTTCCACCTGATGGGAAGGAGGAGATGCTCCCCAATTCTCTCACTGAACTCATAATTGATGGCTTCCCATATCTGAAGAAACTCGGCAATGGCATTCAATTCCTCACCTCTCTTCAGACGCTGCAACTATTTGATTGTCCAAAGCTCGCATCCATTCCAGAGGAAGGCTTGCCTCTTTCACTTGGGAAACTTCGGATCGACCGGTGTCCTCTACTACAAGAGAGATTTCAACCTGGAAAAGGACGATACTGGCCCAAAATATCCCACATTCCTTTCCTAAAAATAGATTTCTGAAGACCCAGGTACTTCCAGTTTCAAACAACATCAAGCTAAAAACCCGACATGTAATCCATTTACAACTTTCATGTTGCAAGTTTTCCATACACTCTTTCAACATTAGCCGATCATATCGAGCTTTCTCCTTGCAGCTGATCGAGCGACCTGGTCCCTGGTGCCTTAGTGCGCGTACGTGGCACATGAATCAGTTCCGGCACACATACATAATCGAGCTTATGCAAACACTATGGGTAAGTAACTTTCTGATAATCTCCTGCCACAGGGAGTAGAGAGAGGAACATGCTGAAACTGGAAATACATTTATCATTGCATATTATCTATTTATATCTGTGGTTATGTAAGAATACCCAATCTTTCAATAAATTGTGAATATATACAGCTATCTTCTATGCCACGACGATGAATGAATCAAATATTTTACGAGTCTTTCTCCAAACCTTAGTTGCAGTGATAAATACTCTTATCAATTTAAAATCCCCCCTACGTATCAAGTGTAAGATCCCACATTGCTCAAGAGAGTGATCTTTATATGTATATTCTCATCCCTACCTAGCACGAGGCATTTTGAGAGCTCACTGGCTTCGGAGTTAATTGGAACGCGGAAGTTAAGTGAGTAGCGCACGAGAGCACTCCCATGATGGGTGACCCACTGGGAAGTTCTCGTGTGAATTCTCAAAAACAAAACCGTGAGGGTGTGGTCGGGGCTCAAAGCGGACAATATCGTGCTACGGCGGTGGAGTGTGCCCGGGATGTGGTGGACCCCGGGTTGGGATGTGACATCAAGAGTATTGCATGTCCATGAGAGGATTGCCATTTCTTGTGGTTTTGCGATCTTCCAACGTAAAGAATGGTGTTCCAATTTCAGTTTCATCAATCACCAACAATCTATGACCCCTGTTCCACATGTAGATTTCTTTGTGCCTGCTATGATGAATAGTCCCCACTACAAACTCATGGACGGCGCCACTTATTTTGATGAAACTCATCCCACGAGTAGTCTCCAATTCATTTTCTCCAATGAGTTTCCGAATTTTAGTTGCACTTCCTTTCTCCAGCGTTGGCAAACATAATCCCTGCTAGTTTGTATCTGTAACTAGACATTGGTTCCAGTTCAGTAAAGTGCTTGAACGCAAGGTTCCCTCCCCTCAGGTCACCATGTGTCCGACAAGCGCCAAGTAACGCACCCCATATTACTGAATTAGATTTTTCTGGCATTGACATGATGAGCTCTTCTGCCTCTTCCAGCCACCCGGCACCCCATATTCTCCTTTCTATAAAACTCTTTCAAATTAAGCCCACTTCTCTACAAATATCAAATAAATAACTTCATAGTTCAGCATATGTCAATCGTTGTTTCATTTTTAGCATAAGTTAATTAAAACAATTTTCCTCTTAAATTTACTAAGATGCAGGTCTTTGTGATAAGGTAGAACATATATTTGAGGTCAAAAAATGGAAGTAGATCGTTTAAAACAAAAACAAGAAAGAAAAAAAAAAAAAACAAAGCTACACTCGTACTGTAGCCTCAAAACCATGGGATTTCACATCAGAAAAGCTTTTCAAAAGTGCATTCCCATCAAACCTTTCCAGAAATACATGTGAGGAATCATTGTTGCAATCATACTGAAATGACGTTAATTAGAAAGCAAGAGCACCAGTATGTTGCAACTGAGAAACCACGCAACCATGAACTATCAAAGCAAAGACCAGCACGAACAATGCATAAATGAAAATCTATTACCTTCTTACAGTGTCTAGATCTCCATATGTGCTTATTGGCAAAAATGCAGTAATGCAACCAGATATCAACTGAATAGGTAACACCTTCAACTGCTCGTTCATAGACCTCCACAACTTTATCGATACAACCTAGACGTGCCTCATGATCCACATACTTTTTCCAATAACCTTAACGCAAAGGAAACTCTGCTAAAAAAGCATCATAAACTTTCCGAATTTTCAATATGTTATCCTGCATATAAAAGTAGAGTAATTTGTTAGTTCAAAAAGAACTGCTAAGTAAATGTATGAAGCATATTCAAATAGTTAGTAAATTCCGACAGCAAGAGTTGTGGCAAACACCAATTTGAATGCAAACACCAAGTAAAAATTTCACTTATAAGAACAACAATATCATTGAGTAACCACACAATTTATCGCATGTTACCATTTCCATAATATAAAGGGGCATACTGAGTTACCAGTTTGGAAATCCTCCTTTCCTCACTGTCTCACCACTATTATTACTACCACTATTATTTCATTTTCCAATTGGTACTACTATCAATTTATTCTCTTGGTAAAAAAAAATTAGTATTAAAACTTAGCCTCCATCTTCTAAGGGCATTTATTGACTAAAGGTTAGATATTTACCCAGCCATGGGCAGACCATGGTATGCTAAGGCAGCTGACTATCACATAAATATCTAAGAACATGTAGAAGGTAAGTGAAGTTCACAGTTTTGAAACCTCATATGATTCATATTTAAATAACAACAATTTCTCTGCCAAAATCTTATCTTTTGCAACCTCAGATGATTCACACTCGCCCAAAGGATTCATCTAATGACTCAAAGATCCAGCTAACGTACCTCTGCAACCGTCTCTGTCTCTTCAATTAAAGTAGTCCAGGCATTGAAATCTTTGGAATTGGCCCTCACAATGTTCCACAGTCTATCTTCTTCGACAGACATGGCTGCAACAAAAGAAAGGAAATAAAAAAAAATATAAGAAAACATGTAAACTGCTAAATGAAGTAAATCCAGCAGTACAATCCCACAAAAAATAAAGTAAAAAAACAATAATAAATCATGAATTAAATTAAATTTCTCACCTCCACCTCCAGCAAATCTTTCACATTCTCAACCTATCACAAAAAAACAAAAAAAAAATCAAATAAAATCAAATTCAAGTAAAAAAAAAAAAAAAAAAAAGAACTTGAACTTCCAAATTAATTGAAAGAACTATAAAATCTATCGGGGGTTTCCGCTAAAGTGAAAAGTAAGAACAAATAAGAGAGCTGTTATTCCCACCCCAATGTCTTATCTTCCCACCCATTTTTTAATTACAAATTTATTCATTTGTAAAATAACTAATAAGGACCTTAGTTACCTCCTTTTGCATTACTTTTTTTTTTTATAAAAAATAAAAAAGAAAAGTTTGGGTGTGAAATAATTACTAAAGAGAGTTGTATCCCTAGGATTTTGGTTGCCCAAATAAGAACCCACCTCTCTGCAACTCCTATCTGCCTTCCCCTCATGAAATTTCAAAAAGCATTCTCCATCATCATCTAGCATAACCTCACATACATGCGTTCCTTGCAACAAAAAAAATCCCCCAGGGGTTAGGGCTTGAGAGATGGTTTAACTTCCTGATTTTTTAGTTAAAGTATTAATTTGAATTCACCGCGGTTATTTCTTTTGTGATTCATTTGACTGGAGAGTTTGGTACTTTTTTTCGTTGTCGAAAAGGAAAGAATGTGGCAGTAGAGAGTGGTTAAAGGGTTCAAGGAGAGAGTTGTCGGGAGAATGGCTAATCTTGTTAATTGGAAGTTTACAGTTGAGATTTGAGATCATTTGGCTTCATAGTTTATTGGATTCCTTGCAGAAGAATAAAAACAAAAAAACAAAAACAAAAAAAACCCCAAGGGTTCCGGCTTGAGGGATGGTTTACTTGAGTAAGCTTCTCTATTTTCAATCCCGACCAAACTACATCAGACTTAAGACTAGAAGACCTTGGTTTTTTTTTTTCCTGCCTTTTAGAAGAGAGTAATATTATTTGTTTATATTCTTTTTTAAGAGAAAAGATGATCTCTAATTATATATAAGGGTTATTTTAGGAATAATAGTGGGTGAGAAAATAACATTTTAATTTTTTAACTTTTTATAGTGGGTGTAAATATAATGTGGGTGGGAAAATAAGACAAGGGTGGGTCTAGCAGCTCTCAAATTTTATTTGAACCTATATAATCTCTTTTTACACCTAACTTATTTTTTACACCCATCTAGTTTTTAATTGAACTATTAGCATCTCTTTAAACCCAATTTTACTACCTAAACTACCATTACAAACCTAATTTAATATGTAATTTATCTTTACATTCATTTTGAAAATAAAAACTCAAAATCAAGGGTCTACAACTTGTTTTCCACAACTCGTTGATTGAGAGTGTAATGACCATAAATATATGGAGTGATGTTTGATGAATCGGTCAAACAAGCAATCTGGAATCGGAAAAGTTATGTGAGCAAACAAGATTAGATGAGGTAATTAACTCATATGTTACGGTCTTTTTATGCTTATTTGAGATTGAAATGTTAAACCAATATGCTTATTTCTCTTACAATAGAAATCGAGTTGGTTTTAATCCTTGTGCGCTTTATCTTAATTGCATTCCCATTGTTTTTATCCCATTGCCGCTTGATAAACAAATGCATTAGCATTTTTCAAATGCTTTAATCTCAAGTTTTTACCTCAGTTTTAGGATTAGGTGTATTGGGTGATCTAAATTTTAATCTGTAAATCCATATTCTTAGGCATCACTTGGGTTTTAGCCACAGTAATTCAAAACTGCAAGAATTATAGGACTCAAAATCATTTTATACATACACATACACTAGTAATAATAATTAACTCAAGCCCTCTGTTGTCATTTGAACCAGTAGTGGGTATATTGAATATTAGATTTATTGATAAATTTTAGTTTCATTCCTGATTTTATCTTGCATTTGAGTGTAATTGTATAATAGGGTAAAATTGACAATTCACATTTTAAATTTAAGTTGGATGTAGAGTAAGGTTGTTTGCACTCAAAATATACCCATTTTTACTTATTTGGGCAATTTGGGTAAAATATGGGATTTGGAGGATTAATGAGCAAGAAGACTAATCTGGAGAGATATTTTGTGCAAGTGGGATAAGTTTTACACTGTAATATTGTTTCTCCTATTTGTTTGGGTGGTCGAGGTTTGTCTAGCATTTGTTTAATCAAGATACATGCATGTATTGCAAGTAGATGGAAATGCATCAGCAAGCTTTCGGGCAAGGAGCATGTAAAAGAAGCCAACTTGCTTCTTTTAAATGTTAGTTTATTACAAGTGGGAAAACATATGATGAAAGCATATGGTGGAAATGCAAGTTCCCCTTTTAATATTATTTCTCCATGCAAGTTGGCAAATGAAATGCAAGCTGCCCAAGCTTCTTTCAGGCAAGTACAAAGATCTCAGCAAGGGGGCTCTTCCAGACCTCTATATAAAGAAGCAGATGGAGAAGGATTACAGACACTCAAAACAACCAATCAAAACTCTACTCAAATTAGCTCATCAGCTTCCTTGTAGACATTTATTTTTAGCCAAGCATCCTTTGCTTTTCTTGTTTATTAGCTCTGCTACTCACTTGTAGTATCGATCTGATTTGTAGCTTTTATGTACTCATTTC